TGGGAAGACAGGCTCACACAGGTGCACAGAGATTAGAACACATCTGTATGGCGTACATCACTGCAGCCAAGTTTAAACATGTCCTCTTGGACCAAAAGACTTAAGATTTGGGAAAATACACGACTGGTGGGTTGGAGGACAGGATTCAGAAGCTCAAAACCTCCACAACCATGACACTTTTTTTTCATTTATTTTTATTAGTTGGATGCTAATTACTTTACAATATTGTAGTGGTTTTTGTCATACATTGACATGAATCAGCCATGGATTTACATGTATTCCCCATCCCGGTCCCCCCTCCCACCTCCCTCTCCACCCGATCCCTCTGGTTCTTCCCAGTGCACCAGGCCCGAGCACTTGTCTCATGCATCCAGCCTGGGCTGGTGATCTGTTTCACCCTAGAAAATATACATGTTTCGATGCTGTTCCCTCGGAACATCCCACCCTCGCCTTCTCCCACAGAGTCCAACAGTCTGTTCTGTACATCTGTGTCTCTGTTTCTGTTTTGCATATAGGGTTATCATTACCATCTTTCTAAATTCCATATATATGCATTAGTATGCTGTATTGGTCTTTATCTTTCTGGCTTACTTCACTCTGTATAATGGGCTCCAGTTTCATCCATCTCATTAGAACTGATTCAAATGAATTCTTTTTAATGGCTGAGTAATATTCCATGGTGTATATGTACCACAGCTTCCTTATCCATTCATCTGCTGATGGGCATCTAGGTTGCCTCCATGTCCTGGCTATTATAAACAGTGCTGCGATGAACATTGGGGTGCACATGTCCCTTTCAGATCTGGTTTCCTCGGTGTGTATGCCCAGAAGTGGGATTGCTGGGTCAACTTTGGCAAACTAATACACCTGAATTATCAAAAAAGGAATGATTCACTTATAACATACACATGAACATGGTGAAAGTGAAGTGAAAGTGAGGGTCACTCAGTCGTGTCTGACTCTTTGTGACCCCATGGATGATAGTCCATGGAGTACTCCAGGCCAGAATACTGGAGTGGGTAGCTGTTCCCTTCTCGAGGGGATCTTTCCAATCCAGGAATTGAACCCAGGTCTCCTGCATCACAGGCAGATTCTTTATCAAGCTATGAGGGAAGCTCTGTAAACACGATATCTTGACACATTTAAAGATCGTATGTTTGAAGAATAATTAATGCCATCGTAAAATGTTCACTCTAGAATAGTGAGAAAAACATAAAAACATGAATCCTTCTGGTTTTACTCCCTGCCTGCTACCCGACAGGAGGTGGGTTTGGAAATGAACACAGAACATGTAAGTAGAGACTTTGTGAAGAGGGAGTAGCAACGATCTTAACCCTTGGTTTAATGTGGACAACTGGAAACAGTTTCAAGAAAAAAGCTTCTTCTAATTCTGCCAAATGAAATGTTGCTGCTTTATTTAGTAACTTGAAACCTTGATTGTGTCATTTGAATATTTATTCATTAGAAAGATAAATAGAGGCATACTTTGATAATCATTGAAACAGTGTATGTAATAAGAGGGCCTAATGCTTTCACACGATCTAATTGGTTTTGTTATAAGTTATTGGGCTATTTCACATTTTAGCAAGTTTATTATAGAATTATGGCTCTAGAATTGTGACATATTCTGTAATTAAACTTCACATAGTGGAAGTTTGATATAGTATGGCCTATAAACTTTGGGTATAGCAGTGCCAATCTAGATAAGAAGGTTTTGAAAGATGTGGTATTTGACTTCATATGTTTAAAGTGCTATCAGATTAAAAGAGCAACAACTATGTTTGTTCTACTTGTTTTCTATAAAGCATGGTGCTGATGTCCTGAAGAGGTGATTTGTTCTCTGAATTCTAGGAAATAAGCCTAACAGTTGTAAAATTGAATTGATTGATAATCTCTGCTCACTGGGGTGTAAATTTGATCTTATCCTCATTAATTGTTACCAGCTGGGCTCTGCTAAGTGCCCAACCTTCTGATGTTAAAACAAGAAAATTTCAGTCACTGTCAATAATTATAAAGTTCCTTTGATTATTAAGCTAATCTTATTTCAGTTACTCAGTGCACTTTTAAATTTTGTGGCACAGAAGTGCTTTCTATATGACACGAATGCATTCACGCATATCCATATAGTGGACTGGGCTTCCTTAGTGGCTCAGAGAGCAAAGAATCCACCTGCAATGTAGGAGACCTGGGTTCGATCCCTGGGTGAAGAAGATCCCCTGGAGAAGGAAATGGCAACACACTCCAGTATTCTTGCCTGGGAAATCCCAAGGAGAGTGGACCCTGGTGGGCTAGAGTCCATAGCGTTGCAAAGAGTTGGACACAACTGAGCTACTCATCAAGTGGATATATACGCAAATAGGTCTTGTGCATGTGTGTACATATATAAATACATATGGCTATGTGTATCTGTATACATATATATATCCATATATGGATGTGTGTATATACACAGCTATGTCTGTATGCTTCCAGTTTTGATGTGACACTGAATTTCCCGGGGAGCGGCAGGCACAGTGCAGAGTTTCCACCCATCTTCCCCTGCTTCCCAGATGTTGAAATCGTCTCACTTCTGGTTCTGCCATTGATTGGCCAGAGACAGGAGGGTCTTCAGTGCTTATATTTTTATAAATTTTAATTCAATGCAATTGTATTGGTCCTTTTTCTTCATGAAAAATAAGCACAGCTGAACACATTCTGTTTCATGAGATATGAAGTACAGACACCTCTGCACTGGGGATACCAAGTCAGTAATCAGTTTACTCTGGAAGAGCAGCGCATCCTGGCAGGACGTGGCTACGGCGGTGTGATAGGCTTTCCCCCTGGTTGTAATGTTTGTCTCTGCTCATACATCCTAAGTCCTCTTGCAGTTGGGTGACAAGGAAAATATGCATCGCTGTCTGAATTACTTTTCTGTGATTATCCTTTAGCAGCTGTTAAAAGTGATGTCCTTTTACATCATATTGTTTGAGTTCCAAACACACCAAATGGCTTGATGAGTTTTTATCTATTAAATTAAATAAATGGAATTCTATATACTTTATGTTTTAAATAATGTGAAAAATATTTTTATATATCTGAACTTATGGTACACACAGAAAAAGACACAGGAGTATAAAAGTTACATAGTTCCTCAAGATTTTTTGTTCATTTTTGACTACATGTTTAATGAAACCCAAAGATACTAAAATATTAGTATTTATATTTATCACTTTCTGATTTATATAATGCAACAAAAACCACTCTACCTTAAGCTAATTCCAAATAATCTACTTAATATGTTCCCACATTTATCAAGTTATTCAAATCTACCCATACATTTTTGGGTGGGTGGTGGAAAAGCAAAGAAGAAAAGAAGATGTTTTAAAAATAGGGATTAGTTTTGAATCTGGATAAAGTTTCAGTTGTGCATGAAAGAATAGAATTATTTCTAAAACGACATGATTTTACATGTTTATCCTTTTAAATAAAAGCACAATTGAAGGTCATATTCGCAGACTAATTTTAAAGTTGGTTACAGCAGTAAGTAGTAAAACCATCATCTCCTTCAAAACATCTGTGAAGCACAAGTGGCCTAGAAAACGTCTGTCCTGCCCCGTGTTCCTGGCAGGTGAGCCCTGAGGGGTCAGGCAGGTAGACGCTGGACGCCGGCTGCCCTAGCCCAGAGCTGCGCCCTCCCAGTGTGGAGCCCAGATCCTGCGCCTCTTCCTCCTGTGAGACCTGCGTGATCCCCGATCCCCAGCACAGCGTCCCCACAGTTCGCCTGGGACGTCTCCCAGCATCACCCGTCAGTGTCCAGAGCTGTGATCGCCACCTCTCTCCCTCTGAAAATGCCCTTTAGCTGCCATGGCGCTTGCCCAGGTTTTCTCACTTCCTGTTTTCTCCTCTGCAGTCTCCACTGAAGGCGTGTCCTTCTCTCCCCAGCCGTAAAATGTTGGGGTTCCTCCAGTCCAGGCTGGCACCCTCTCCCTTACTTCCAGCTCCAAGCTGTCTCTAGACACTCCCGACCCATCCAGGGCTGACCGTCTAGATACTTGCAGATGACCCCGTTCCCAGTCCAGACCGACCCTCTCTGTCGCAGAGCCACACAGCCTCCTGGATCCTTGATTTTTATTTCGGTTTTCTCCAAGACACCATACAAACCAAAAAGTAATGACTCCCACACACAAACCTATCTTCGTGGGTTCTAACATTATCTTTCAAGTTGCTGGCACCTCTTCCACTCAACAAAGCAGGCCAGGGACACTTGCTCCCCCAGGGCCAGCTTGCTCCCTCATCCCATCAAATGAAAAAGTGTTAGTCACTCAGTTGTGTCCGACTCTTTGTGACCCCATGAACTGTAGCCCACCAAGCTCCTCTGTCCATGGGATTTCTCAGGCAAGAATACTGGAGTGGGCTGCCATGCCCTTCTCCAGGGGATCTTCTCAACCCAGGGATCCAAGATGTGTTTCCTGTGTCTCCTGCACTGCAGGTGATTCTTTGCCATCTAAGCCACCGGGGGAAACCATTCCATCAAATTATCTGCTGCAAAGTCTGCCAAGTGCCCTAGAAATCTCCCTTATCACCCCAGCGCTCCAATCTGAACCGGGAGCTGCCCTGGACCGCGGCTCTGGCCTTCCGCCTGCCCCTCCCCAAGAGCAAGGCGCTTTCTTCCTAAGCAAAGCCCCAGAACACCAGTACCTTCCCACTTTCCAGGAGCTGCCCGTCTCCACAGAGATATTGATGAGATACTTCACAAGGCCTGCAAGGCCGTATGCGACCTGGTCCGCAAACACCTCTGTAGCCTCAGGTCGCGTCCCTGCCCCGTCTTCCTGTATCCCGACCCCCACTCCCGGGAGATGGTGAAGGACAGGGAAGCCTGGTGTGCTGCAGTCCACGGGGTCACAAAGAGCCGGACACGACTGAGAGACCAACAACAACGTTTCTCAGTGTCTCAGGCCGCCCTCAGCCACCTTCCCGGGTTAATCTCAAGTAGACCCCTCACTCTGTGTCTGCCCCCGTAGCCGGTATAGCCACCTTCCTCGGACACTCCAGCCTCACTTCCTGTTACTGTTCAGTGAAGCCGCGTGAGAGGCAGAGCCCTTCTGCCGAGAAGGCGGAACCAACTGCTGATCAGAAACAGGACGTTTTATTCTTCTCCTGATTTATTGTGCGTCAATCCTTTGTGCTGAGAATGAAAGAGTGTGGGCCGGCGGCCTTGTCCTTCAGGTGCTGTGTCCGTGTCTTTGGGGAGATCTCTGTGCCCCTCTCTGCTGCACACGCCCTCCCTCCCAGGGACGGGAGGTGGACGCGTGTCCTGACCCGACACCCCCAGGGACGGGAGGTGGACGCGTGTCCTGACCCGACACCCCCAGGGACGGGAGGTGGACGCGTGTCCTGACCTGCCGAAGCACCCTCTCGTGTCGGCACGCCACAGCTGGGAAGGGGGTCGGCAGCCCATCTCTCTTCTGTCTGGGATCTGGGCCACATGCTGAAAACAAAAGCAAGATGTGTTTCCATAGTTCCTCCGAAAAAATGATTGTCTGTGCTCATTCAAGAACCCTGCAGCCCTCCTCCAGATTCCATTTCCCCGCCCCTCGAGTTTCTAAGAGGATGAAACTTTAACATCCATGCTAGCGGCTGTTTATTTTTTCGGGTTGTTCTTTTCTGTGCAGATGTTGTCTTATTAGTTAAACTGAGAGTGGGCTTCTTCACCACGTGATAACCTTTAGTGACTGTTTATTTAAAGACTGCTAGGCAGCCAAAAACAACACCCTTGCCATCTTCAGAGCCTCACGACCTCTGACACTTGACGCTCCAAGGGGGTCTCATGCATGGCTGTCCTCGCCTGACTCTCAGGTCTTGAAGCTACATGTGGTGAAGCAGCTGTCCTAACTGGTCTCTGAATTTTCAGCATAGGGTAGCCCCTGGCTTACTTCCAAGCTGCCCAGCGTGTTTTTATTTTTCTTGCATCTTCCAAGACCAGCTCAAGAAAAATGAGAAATAGACTCGATGGGCTGATACATGGGAGTCCCCAGGGATGAGAAGGAGCAGACGGACTCTGAGAGGCCTGGAGGTTTCCTTGCGGCAGTTCGTCCTCTCGGTGGGCAGGAAGCTCTCTGCTGTAGGACAGGAATTTAGTTTTACATGTGGAACATTCTACAGGAAGGCAGCTCCTGTCTGATGAATGCATGGGTGTCCCCTGGTGGCCGGGGGGGCGTGGGAATAGGTACAGGCCTGATGCTAGGGTATTTTCCTAAATACCACATAATCAGTAGTCGGTCTGAGGTCTGTCTGCATCAGGCTATAGATTTGTTTTTAAATCCTCTCATCTTGTGCTTGAAAATATATGACCTTTATCTCTTATCAACTGCTTCCTTCCCAGAAACGAGGTGGAGTCCAGTCACACCAGCAATTGCTGGCGTCTTTGGGAAACCCGCCTTCTGCTCCTGGCGGTGGGTGTGACTTGCATGATTCTGAGAAGTGAGGCCGTGGGGAGTGAGACGCGGCAGTGATGGGGGAGCCTCAGGGTCTGATCCCAGAGGCGATCTTCTGACTAGAAACCGCCCCCTCCCTGGTTCACGTCTCCTGTAGCCTTGGCGGGGATTGGGGGTCTTTGGTGAGGGGCAGTTCGCCTACTTTCCTGGGTTTGCAAAGTGGCCGTCATGTGGGACCGAGAGGAAGGATTCTCAGAGCCAGGCAGCTGGGGTCCCTTGGCTGGCTCCCGAACGCTCTGCGGCTACAGGATACTCTCAGGGTCTGTGGTGACGGCCAGCATTCAGCCGGGGTGTGGAGAACTCTGCCTGACCCCAGTCCCGCAGCTGTCTCGTCAATTCAGCTGAGCTGCTCTGGGGCCGGTGTCTCATCCCCAGACAGGGGGCCAGGAGACCAAGAACCCAGATCTTCTTGGGCCACCCAGAGCTCTGAGGTGGGCCGTGCAGGAAACCGGCTCCTGGGCTCTGGTTTCTTTGTCAGTGTAGGCTCCTTGAACAGACGCTCTTATGAGCAGGCTTTTTTGGAATGGTGATTTCATCACCAGTTTAAGTCTCCCCTTGAAAATTCCAGTTTTCATCGCTTCTCATGTGCACAATTTTTAATTCAAACAGCACAGCATCAGGCCCTTTTCTGTCCCTATGAACATATAGAGTGTGTCTATCTTTTTGTGAAGATGCTTATAGAAGCTAGATGTGTACATTAGGTGCAACTCAGGACAGTGTTATTCTTGCAGGGAAGGGGGAGGGTGTGGATCTGGGGAGAAATACCATCACAGATCCCAATCAGCCTAAATTTGCCCCCCAATCCAACTGGTCCCTGACTTTTGGGAAAAACTAACTCAGACATTTTCTGTTTTTTAAACCTTGGATCACTCCCCTCTTCTTTCATTCTGGAAGCAGCTGAGCTCACCTGAACTCAAAGGAAAATTGCGGTTTTTTAAGGGAACTCTTACAAATCCCTTACAGTAAATGACCCTCCTACGTATAACAGACATTCCCTGTCTCCTGGTCTTCACAGTTTCAGTCGCTGTGTGTCATGGGTGTGAAGTGGTCCCAGGCTTGCAGCTCCCCGGGTCTTTACAGGAGAACGTGACCAGCCTCCAGATGAGATGACGCGCCCAGGCCGGCAGCGGCCCTCAGCACCAGAGGCAGCTGCCCTGTGGCCACCGGTTCTCTTCACCTTTTCTTTCCTTCTCGTCAGTGGGGTGACTCGGGGCATGTACTCCTTGTTGGCCGGGCTTCTCGTGGCGCACATGCTGCATGTGCGCTTCATGGAGTCACCAGGCCTGTCGGGACTTGGTTCCTCATCCTGCCCTGTCCTGTCCTGGGCGCCGATGGAAGGGCCACGGCTCATCCACTTTCCCGCTGATCCACTCGAGGGCTGTGCCCACCTGGGGTTCTTACAAATGAAGCTGAAATGAATAGTGTGCATGTCTTTGATAAATATATGTACTCCCTTTTATTTATTGGACTTTTTAATTTTCTATCATCGTGTAACAAATCACCACAAGCTTGGTGGCTTCAAAACACACTTATTACCTCATGGTCATCTGAGTTAGGGTCAGGCTTTGTCCACCCGGGGTCTTTGCTCAGGATCACCCACAGCTGTCCTGAGATGTTCAGACCAGATCCTTTCTGCATCCTGATTGCTGTCTGAGTCAGGGGACCCCTCATAGCTTCTCCATGTATCCCCTCATGGCCATTCCATGAACCCCCTCATCCCCCTCCATGAATCCCCTCATCCCCTCCCTATATCCCCTCATCCCCTCCCTGGATCCCCTCACCCCCTCCCTGTATCCCCTCATCCCCTCCCTGTATCCCCTCACCCCCTCCCTGTATCCCCTCATCCCCTCCCTATATCCCCTCATCCCCTCCCTGTATCCCCTCATCCCCTCCATGTATCCCCTCATCCCCTCCCTGTATCCCCTCATCCCCACCCTGTATCCCCTCATCCCCCCTCCATGAATCCCCTCATCCCCTCCCTATATCCCCTCATCCCCTCCCTGGATCCCCTCACCCCCTCCCTGGATCCCCTCATCCCCTCCCTGTATCCCCTCATCCCCTCCCTGTATCCCCTCATCCCCACCCTGTATCCCCTCATCCCCCCTCCATGAATCCCCTCATCCCCTCCCTATATCCCCTCATCCCCTCCCTGGATCCCCTCACCCCCTCCCTATATCCCCTCATCCCCTCCCTGGATCCCCTCATCCCCTCCCTGTATCCCCTCATCCCCTCCCTGTATCCCCTCACCCCCTCCCTGTATCCCCTCATCCCCTCCCTGTATCCCCTCATCCCCTCCCTGTATCCCCTCATCCCCTCCATGTATCCCCTCATCCCCTCCCTGTATCCCCTCATCCCCACCCTGTATCCCCTCATCCCCCCTCCATGAATCCCCTCATCCCCTCCCTGTATGCCCTCATCCCCTCCCTGTATCCCCTCATCCCCCCCTGTATCCCCTCATCCCCTCCCTGTATCCCCTCATCCCCTCCCTGTTTCCCCTCATCCCCTCCCTGTATCCCCTCATCCCCCCCCTGTATCCCCTCATCCCCTCCCTGTATGCCCTCATCCCCTCCCTGTATCCCCTCATCCCCTCATCTCCTCCCAGTATCCCCTCATCCCCCACCATGTATCCCCTCATCCCCTCCCTGTATCCCCTCATCCCCTCCCTGTGTCCCCTCATCCCCTCCCTGTGTCCCCTCATCCCCTCCCTGTATCCCCTCACCCCTCCCTGTATCCCCTCATCCCCTCCCTGTATCCCCTCATCCCCTCCCTGTATCCCCTCATCCCCTCCCTGTATCCCCTCATCCCCTCCCTGTATCCCTTCATCCCCTCCCTGTATCCCCTCATCCCCTCCCTGTGTCCCCTCATCCCCTCCCTGTATCCCCTCATCCCCTCCCTGTATCCCCTCACCCCCTCCCTGTATCCCCTCATCCCCTCCCTGTATCCCCTCATCCCCTCCCTGTATCCCCTCATCCCCTCCCTGTATCCCCTCATCCCCTCCCTGTATCCCCTCATCCCCTCCCTGTATCCCTTCATCCCCTCCCTGTATCCCTTCATCCCCTCCCTGTATCCCCTCATTCCCCCCCTGTATCCCTTCATCCCCTCCATGTGGCCCTCACGTGGATTTTCCCTGCACACCTTATGTCACAGCAGCCTCTACGAGGCTATGGGGGGTGGGGGTTTCTTCCTCAGTGATGGGGGTTGGAGTCTGGCAAAATGTACCATGATCTCAGGAACGCCCCCCTCGCCGAGCAGCACAGCCTGTCCTGGAGTGACGTCCATCTCCTCCTCCAGGACCTGGGAGAGGCCCATCCCAGGGCCTGGGGTGTGCAGGAAGGAGTTACCCAAGACGGGAGGCAGGTGAGACCAAGGTCATGGCGCCCGCTCACGGGAGGCAGTGAGGAACTGCGGGGTCAAGTTTGCTTCAGATGCTGAAACCTGGTTACAGAGTGTTGTGCTGGCTTAGGCTCCTACTAGCAAGGATCAGGATTCAGTTCTTCCCCTCCTCACCAACATGGATGGGACAGTTCTGTGGTCCTGTGTTCCACCGGCCTGGACACAAAGGTTCAAGAGAGGCTGGCCGGGTGGCACTGGCTTATTTATTGTGACCTCAGTCAAAAGTGACCCTTGGAAGGGTGATGGGACCCGTGTTGAAAGGTGTCTGTCCAGGGTCTGTCCAGGGTCTGTCCAGCCTGCATTCCCTTCCTCATGATGTGTAATTGGGGGTCCGTCTCCAGGAGGGCTTCCCAGGGTGTATACAGCGCACCATCCTTGAGCAGCCATGTGGGCGGAGGGGCCGGGACCCGGCCTCCCCTCCGGGCGGGCGGGCCCTCAGGTCGGATCCCGGCAGCTCTGAGCACCGACCGTGAAGGCTGCGTCAGCGCCCCCGGAGGCTGACTCATCGTCCGCCCACTCGCAGCCTGACTCACGCTCAGCCTCAAAGCTCTCCCAGATGCCTCCAGCCTTCTTCAGGCCCACGGTGTCTTTGATTCCCTCTGTAATTATTAGCACAGGGTCCTTGGGGAGAGCAGAGTGAGGTATCTGCAACTAGTTTCTTTTAAGTGGCTCCAGTTTGGCACCTGCTAACTTTCAAAACATCTTTCAGAAAATGACCAAAACTCTCCACATGTGCCATAAAACACATTGCATCTGACATTTGCTCCTCGTTACACTGAAAGACACTGAACATCTTCTCTGGTGCATTTTAAAGAGAACACGAGGAGCTACTTGGAAATCGAGAAGCTGATTTCACTGGCCACTCATGCAGAAGGCTGTCCTCTCTGAGTTCAGTGTGACCAGAGGCTGATGGATGTGTTTTTGCCTCTGTATCTTGGACAGCCTGGGTGGAAACATGGCCCAGAGGGAAAAGTAATTGGCAAAGGCAGGAATTCTCTTAAAGTTAATCATCACCGTGATCATCGTCATGGCCGTCTAGACACATTCCGCCTAGAGCAGCCCTTCTAACGTAGCTCAGCTCTAAATACCACGTGAAAATGAGAGCGTAGCATCCACACGCCACCTGGTGTGAGACTACCTGTCTATGTTGCTACAAGTCAAATACCCTCAAATTTCCTTTGCGCGTCTCAATGTTTCTTTTATTTCTAGTTTCCAGTTCCTCGAGGTTCATGGATGACTCTCACTGAGAGTGGAAATGTGACGTTCTATACCCACATGACTGGGCACAAGTGGCATTTTTCTTCTCGCTGATTTTTACTCATTCCTCTAAGAAGCACCAGAAATATGCAGTCATTCAATGGACACTTAAGGTTCCAAATTGTTTAAAAACTAACCCGTGCCTAGCTGCCTAGGATCTACAAGGAGCCATGAATTAGCCCAATTCCCAGTGCTAATACCCTGCCTTCTTACACAGACCTGGTACACAACAAAAGCACACTACTGATGTAAAAGTGGTAAGACTTGAGAATCTGATGGACTATAGTGCCGCTAGTTTAAGACCCTTCGCCTGCACCACGTGAAATACAGTGACTCAGATGGAAAAGTGCCACGTTTAGGGGACTCAAAAGTGGGGCAGGCTCGGCCGGCAGGAGCGACCTGCGGGCCACTTCAGGCTCCAGGCCCTCTGTCCTCACCGCTGACCCTCTGCACCTGCCAAAGCAGCCACGCTTTGTTAAGAGTCGGGCTTTGTGGCCCTGAAAGGACAGCTTGATTAAAAGGGGTTGTTCCTTTTCTCACCTGCTATTTTTCTTCTCTTTCTTTCTTCCCCTCTTTGTTTAAGGAAACTTGGTGATTTCTCTAGATTTCTTTGTGGGAAAGGGAAAGGACTTAAATGAAGTCACTGTGGGAGCAATCCCACGGGGCTGCTTTAAAGCCCAGCATGTAATTCTGGTGCAGCAGCGTGCGCTCCGAACGTTCTGTGCTGTGGCAAAGGCGTCTTATAAAACAGAGCAGGGACTTTCAAAGTGAAAGTGGACTTCTGATTAATAGAGGATCAAACCATACAATTCTCTGAAAACAAGTCTCTTGGGACTGAGTTCCTAAATCACCAAAGTTGCTAAAGTACCACCTTTACTAAGGTGCTGAAGTTACTAAGGTACTAATTACTAAAATTGCTAAAGTATGAAAGTTTCTAAAATAGAGGATATAACTTAAGTGGTTTTGTTTTTCCTCTTTGGTTACTAAAAAGCATCATAGATTATCTAATACTTTAGAGTTTATAAAGCACTTTCTCCTCCACATACGTTTTATAATATCATTTTCTTAAAAGCTCTGTAATGTAAGTGGTTCAGTTATTCGTATCTCATAAAAAGAATATGATACGAATTGGATGGCCTCCTCTGGGCCAACCAGAGTCATTCCTGAGCTCAGGAAACATTTTTGTTAACACGATCATTCACCCTGTTGTTCATTCAGTCGTGTATTTATCTGGCAAATGTGATTAATAACTACAGGCTTCCATGAATTCTGACACCCTGAAAAATACAGAGATCATCTGCCCTTATCAAACCTGAATGTGTGGGCATATATTTAATGGCACTAAATGATGCTACCTTAGTTAATTATATCCAACATTTTAAAATGGATTATTAAGGCACAAAATTAAATGTTAGAGGAGTTGAAGATGTAGGACTGAGTCATGTACATACTATATAGTCAAATAAATACTATGGATAAATATTAATCAGCTTCTCTTAAAAAAAAAACAAAACGCTGACAACTTTACAACAGCACTTAAGGCACTGACGCCCAGTGCTGGCACACACACGATGTGTCAGGCCTCTTATGCCTGAAAGCTCTTCAACACTAAATAACCAGATAAACTGCAGACATGTGAAGGCAAACAAATTATTCTCCAGATGTCTGATGACTCAACCAAAGCTTTCAGGTGAGACAAAT